ATCTACTTTCTCATTTGTATATATACGTTGTTTATGCGAGATAGTCATTGTTAATTCAATAGTGTTCCATTAATATTCTTGCGTCTTTCACGTCATTTGGACGTTCGACGGGGTTGTGTTTTGTTTCGGTGCTGAACGATAGATGGTCGGGAGTATTTTTCGCGAATCGACGAGACGTTTCTTCGACACGATGTAAAACGCGAGCGTTGTAAATTTTTTTCGAACGAATACAATGCAATGATACTGTTGTTTCGCTGGAATTACCTGATTGTCAGCGTGATATATATACACATACGAGGGTAATTGTTTGTGAGAATTATGAAGATTACACAACATTGTTTTGTAAATGATTTGAATGTTCTTCGTGAAATTTGTAATATTTTGTACATAATCAAATTTAAATGAGAATGAAATGAAAAGCATTTGGACAAATCAAATTTTTTGATCAATGTCTTTTGTAGTTTTGTATATGTATACATATATGTGTGTGCATATATTTAGCGCATATAAAATTATAAAAGCCATTAGTAAACAAAATTTGGTTTCTCAAATACAGAGAATATGTAACTCCAACTGCATTTTATCTCGTTTCAGTTTAAACTACGTACATATGTACATATATATCTTCTATCTTCTATTTATAATCGATAAAACAAACATTTTTTTCTAGTTTTATCTCGCGTCTTCTCGTTAATGCGAGCAATATTCAAAAGACGGAAATCTTAACGCGAGACAGTGAGTCCTAATCAAAGTACATCGCGTTTGGTGGTAGAGCAAGAATATTGAGAATGAAAATGTCGAGACTCGGATTAGTTGAAACCATCTGTACATTGATTCTTTTGTTTTAATTTCATCGTCTTTTGATCTCATTTTAATCTTTTCTATAATCCCATTGAATCTGCATACGTGTCGAATATTCTGTGTTGAATATATTCTGAATGAAGTTTCTGTTTAAAATTGTTGACGATAAAAGTAAGATTATGTGAAAGAATTGCTCGCTGTCGAGAGAAATACTGACATAAAACTGAAACGAGAGATCGCACGCTTATTAACTATGATATTTTCATATTTTATTCATATATTATTTCATATTTTACTTTCATATTTTCTTCTAATTCAAGAAATATAAAAATAGAAAAGCATGCAGTACCGAATATGATTTAAGTTTAGTTGGATGTTCTCGATTTTTCATTTCATTTTGGTAGAGTAAATTAGTGAGAAAAGAATCATGGAAGTATGTAATAACTGTTTCAAAATTTGCTTGAATGTAAAACTTGCAAATTCATATTCTCTGTAAATAAGAACTTTATGGAATAGTTTCAGCAAAAATAATTGATCACTACTTAGCAGAACAAAAGTTTTATTCAATTCGTAACAATATAGAGACAAAATACTAAAGAAAGTCTTTTTACTATATATCAATACTAAAAGTCTCCTGTAATCTTCATAATTCATCTCGGAACAGTACCGATGCACACGATAAGAGGTTGACACGATCGAACGTCCCGTAGTTTCCGTACTTTTCTGTTTATTTTCTGACTATAGAAAGGAGGAGATTCGAGCGTCGAATCCTACGGCGAATCGTTGTCGTTGGTGATACGCGATAAGGTGCTATACACAATATTTTGTCGTTTCTTCGTTCGCTACGCGCGCATATATTAACAATAAGTTGACAAGCGTTCATTTTGCCTTGCGCGATCATCTTAGAATTAAGATATTTTTTCTTTCCTTCTCTCTATTTTTTTTTCTTTTTTTATTAATAAAGAGGACAATACTGGAAAATAACTGAGAATACGTCTTTTATTTAACTTCGGGCAATCCGTCCGAATATTATACAGGCAGACGATTTTTAACTTTAAACTGACAGAGATTTGTCACCCTTGAAGAGTTGTCACTTTCCATCGAAAGTTACACTCGAAAATCTCGCGTAGAAAAACAGTGTTCTGTACTGTTTTCCAGTATCGCCCTCTTCGTTAATAAATTGCCTCGTTTCACAATATGAAATCACAGTCGTGATAACGAATACGTTGATCTTTAATTTAAACTTAGATCCGAGTTTTTCAATTGAAATTTCTTCAGATTGAAGACGCAATAAATTAATATTTGATATTTACCTAAGAGATTGAAAAAGAAACCGCGAGGCAAGAAATAGAAGCATGAACATTTCCATTATACGTCGGGGGACGTCTCAAAGAGAAATTACGAGAAAATGGTATATAACGCGTAAATATAAAAATCGTATTGCGAATATTTTTGACCCGAATGCGGCACTTGAAAGGCGGAGACGTTCTTCGTCTACTCTCAGACGCCTTCCAGAGGATCCCATCTTTAAAAAAAAAAAAGAAAGAAAAATACAGCCATTCGTAGGGCAAAATACGCGATCCTAGTACAAACTGCGGATACAGCAATGACCGTGCATTTTTTCTTTTTTTTTTTCTGGCGACGTTCACATCGGCGAATCGCGATAAAATAAGATTAAAAAAAAAAAAAAA